TATATATATATATATATATGTGTATATATATGTATATATATGTGTATATATATATATATATATATGTATATATATGTATATATGTATATATATATATATATATATATAAATATATATATACATACATATATATATATACATACATATATATATATATATATATTATATATATAAATATATATATATATATGTGTATATATATATATGTATATATGTATGTATATATATGTATATATGTATGTATATATATGTATATATATATATGTATATATGTATAGTACAAAAACAATACAATATATCGCATTGTCAGTATTTTTCCCAGTATCGTTTAGCCCTAAAACAAACAAGGTCGCGTTTATGTGCAATTTTTTACAGTACTACTCACTTACCATCTGATTCAGTCATGCAAATATGTCTAAACACATACATTTAAAAATTTACTGCAATGAAGTGACAGCAGGCTTTTTTGTGTTCCCACTTGACTTGCTTCGTTTCTTTACTTTAACTTCTTCAGTTTTTTATGTTCTTGTGCTCTGATTCGTAGCTGAACAGCCAATCAGAGTGCTGGACAATTTTAATTTTACATGCTATTAATACTAATCATTCATTGATTTTAAAGAAACGGTATACCATGATATATACTGTATCATTATCAGGGTTTGAGATGATATTTCCCAGCCCTTCTAGTCCTTTTAATCGTAAACTACAATCTGTAGCTGTTTGACTGAAATGTTTGTTTGTTTGGTTTTCCTCTAGACTGTGTTGGTGTGCTCCTACCTCATTGCCCATGGGTTTTTCAGCGTTTACGCCATGTGTGTGGATACACTCTTCCTCTGCTTCTGTGAGTACTTGCCGTTTAATAAGTCTTTTCAGCTCAGAAGCCAATGAAACGTGTAAATATAACCACGCGTTAAAAGGTACAACATCAAATCAAAGAGAATTGTATGTACATTTACTGTACATTAAAAGTGTTTAAAAAGGTTTAATTTGTGCATTTATGGAAATATTAAGTCTTTTTGAACGAAATCTGGTGCCACTAATGGGCTGACTGACTCTTTATTGCGCATGGCAGTGCATGTCGCTCAGTTTATTGTTAACCTCTTATGACTTGCCTATACTCTACATTTTATAACAATTCTCTGAATTATGTACATGTATATGTATATTTTGGTTAGGGATGCACCAATTTTTTTGCCACAAAATAAAATGCTGGCAGGACATTTACAATGGGGGAAATAAGTATTCACCAAATGCACCAATTTGCTCAAACTTATTTCTAAAGGTGCCATTGAAATTTTCTCCAGATGTTAATAACCAAAGAAATCCATGTATGCAAAGAAAACTGTATTGATTAGTTTACAAATGTAGTTCTGTGTGATAAAATGAAATTGCACAGAGAAAAAAAGTGTTGATCACATGAAGAAAGGAAGGTGTAGAAATGCAGTGAAAGCTTGGACAGTAGCTGAAATCACTCAGTAGTTCTTCAACAACCCTCTGCCCTTCCTCATTGCAAACTAATATTAGCTGCTTCTGTCCAACATCTACAATAGCAGGATGATGAAGATGAAATCAGGGTGGACATTTCAGCAAGACCATGATCCAAAACACAGCCAAGGAAACTCTCAAATGCTATCAGAGAAAGAAAATCAAGCTGTAGAATGGCCCAGCCAATCACCTGACTTGAATCCAATAGAAATTTGCGAATTAAAGCTCAGATTTGATAGACAAGACCTATAGAACCATCACTATTTTAACACTGTTGATGTCTGTGAAAAACTCACACCTGAGCGATGCATGTGACTTCATTCTCCACATGAGAGTTGTCTTTAAGCTGTGATCACTTTAAAAAAAGCCTTTCGTATAAAGCTTTAAATACGCTTCAGTAGTTCAAGACTTTCTCCTTGTGTTTTCCATTGTTATTACACAGAACTCATTTTTCAGATTTTTTTGTTTTTATTTTTGTTTGTATTTTTTTATTATTAAAATCTGGTTTAATTCCAACGCAACAGCTCCTTTAGAATTTCTCCCCCCATAAAAACATGACGTGTTAAATATTTCCCACCCACTGTATATGTAGTATACTAGTTCCTGTAGCTTGCAATAGCACTACTTGCTGTCATGGCAACGCAGGTAAAATGATGCCTGTTGACCCGTACACTGAATTTTTTTAATTTAATTTTTTTATTTTTTTGTTTAAATCAAAATGTAGTTTAGGTTTGGGTATATTTTAAATGTTTTAAAATGTTAATAATTACATTAATTTAATTACTATGATTTTGTCTAATGTAATAACATGCACTTTTTTTGTAAAGCTGCTTTATAATGATAATTAATGTAAAAAGTGCAGCTGCATACAAATCAACTTGAATTGAATTGATACTTTCCAATTAAAAAATAATAATATTTGCAAAGCATTTTCGGTTTCTCACCAAGTGCATTCAGATTTTCTGTTTCAGTCAAAAATGCCAACTGTGGTGCATCCCTAATTTCTGGTATGAGGTGTTTCTAATCTTTTGTAACAAAGGTGTGACATTTCATTGGGAACTGATGTGCTTTTCTCCCTTTCATCTTCTAATAATCTCCTTCTTTCTCTTTCTCTTTTTATGGCTGTTTCCCCTTTATCATTCCTCTTTGGGTTTTCTATCCAATCATCCGTTCCTCTCAAACCTAATTTTACATGCATCTCGCCATACTCACACAACCCTTTGCTTGAACCCTCCTGTACTCGACTCACTAACATCACATGAAGGTGATGATCTAGAGCGCAATGACGGCTCCGCGGCTCAGCCGTTTTTCATGACTGCAGGACTGCATGATGTTCTGATGAAGGACCCGGATGCGGCTCCAACTCCTGCTTCACGTGAAGAGACTATGCAGCTGACGGCTACCGAAAAGATGGATTAAAGCTGATCCGATTATACACTATATGTGCAAATATTCTCTTGTTGGCTGTAGTGCATTTGTGATCTTGGATCTCAAAACTAACCCTATGCTGCATGTGTATATTTTTAGCAAATTGATTGGGTCAAAATGATCGATTTGTCATTTATGCAAAACAATCATTGGACTCCATAAAGATATTTTGTAAAATTCCTTCTGTTAATATATCAAAAATATTGATTATTAATGTGTATTGCTAAGCACTTCATTTACACAATATTTTCCCGATAATTTTTCCTTAGTTTTTTAAAATATATTTATTACTTTATTTATTTATTTATTTATGCATTTATTTATTTATTTATTGAACCACCAGATAACTTATTAAAATAGTATTTCGACCAAATGTTGTGCTGCCCTAACAATGCAAAGCTTTCCAAATTTCAAATTGTGGTCCAGGATCATATATAGATATTGAAATCTCAGGCACGATTGCTGTCAAATAGTCATATGTTCAGGTAATAATGTGTGTTGATGTAATAAAGAGACAGACAGGGAAAATGATCTTGAGAATAATTAATTTAAAGTCAACATGAAACTGCATTTGCCACACATTTTTCTTCTGTATCATGACGTTTTAGGATTATTGGAACACTTTAGATTAGGGCAGGGGTGTCCAGACTCAGTCCTGGAGTGCCGGTGTCCTGCATAGTTTAGCTCAAACATCCTTCAAAACACCACCTTGAAAGTTTCTAGTATACCTAGAAAGAGTTTGATTAGCTGGTACAGGTGTGTTTAATTAGGGTTTGGACTAAAATATGCAGGACACCAGAGCTCCAGTACCAAGTTTGGACACCCCTGGATTAGGAGAACAACCTTACTAATAAGAGTTTCATCTCAAATGCTTTATTATGATTATTTCAATAACTAAATGACTCATTTTTTTGTCTTTGCACACAGTGCTTAATATTTTACTAGTTGTTGTTGTTTTTTTCAAGATACTTGTTTTAGTTAAATACAGCAGTTAAGGTAAACAAACAAATTATTCTTGATGTTTATTTCAAGTTTTATCAATACATTATTTATTATATTCGTATTTTAATATTTTTAATCTAAAATAATCTTAATAATGTTTCTGATTATCAGATTATTGATAAGAAACGAGTGAGAAAAGTATGATTTTTAACATTTTAGTGAGATTCACCCCTTTTTATTAAGAGTTTTTACTCAATAAATGGCACAAATGTTTATTTTATCATTGTGTGTGTATAAAAACGTATATTCTGAGCTTTCAATTAAATTAAGTTTCTGTCTTTAATAATTATTGACCAAAAATATTGGTATGGTAAGGTATTGTTAAGGTATCCATGAAACCTTACATATTTATTACAAAACATGAAAATAATTTAAAGCATTATAATTATTACTATTATTATTATTATTATTATTATTATTATTACTTATGTAAACTTTCACTGTCTAATAAAAAAAAATACATTTTCATTTTTATTGCAACAGTATTTTTAATGGTCCTAAATATTCATGTTTCTCATGGATCATATCACATAAATATTGGTATAAATAAGACAAAAGTTTGAAGGAAAATACAGGAACATGTCTAAAATGAACTATTTACTAAACCACAATTATTTATTATGAACTAAACAACACAATCTCATGGCAATGCGAAACATTTTGTCAATTTAGTACAATTTGCTCGTATCCGATGACGGAGTTTCGGAGTGTGGTCAGGCCAGGTCATTTTCGTACGACTAAACTTGTACAAATTAGCCACTAAACTGACAAAATGTAAAACAGTTAGGTTTTCCTGTGAATCCGTAATTTTACGTAAAATTGTGTAAAAAAATAAATAAATAAATAAAAAAGTACCTGTAAAATAATGGTCATTAAATTACAGTAATTTACCATAAAATAACAAATGTAAATTACAAAAATGTAACAGAAATTTAAATAAAAGGAAATTTCTGCAATTTAACAACCATTATTTTACTATAATTTTCTGTAATTTAATGGCCGTTACTTTGTTTTTTTTTTCCGGCATCCCACCTGTAGGAAAAAAACATAAAATTAAGGATTTTTTGTTTTTTACAGTGTATATTTCGATTAAAGTTTATAAAGGCAAGTAAATGAACAGTGCACATTAACAACATGGATAAGGAAAGCGAAAAACTCAAGTGTTGATTTTATGTTGACTTTAAAGCTAACTACTTTAAATGCTGATTTTTTTTTCGACAGGGATTGTTCTTTTAAGTTTTAGCTTACTGTTTTTGCTGCTGTTTTATTCTGTGACTACATCTAATGTTACTCTGAACTGAAATGTCCTTTAAATGTCAATATTGCTGTATTTCCTCCAGATTGTAATAAGCCGTATCTCTTATGCACTTTAAGGTTCTCTGCTGTATTTGGTTGCAATTCACACCCGGTTTGGGAAAACTAAAAAGAAAACACCTTGTTGCCTTTTTTCAGTGGCCTTTAACTCTATCTGCTGCCTTTTCAAACGTCTTTTGTGTGCAAAAGTCTTTATTTCTAATAAATATTGTGCAAATTTTGTAATTTAGGCCAGTTGGTGTTGTTCATTCAGCATGCTAACTAAAGATAGACTAGGACTGGGTAAAGTTACTTTGAAAAGTTAAATATTGTAATCTTAATCTCATTTAATAACAATAACATGACACATACAGTTGAAGGCAAAATTATTTACAGTTCTCTGAATTTTATTTTTTAAATATTTCCCAAATGTTGTTTAACAGAGCAATGAATTTTTCACAGTATTTCCTAAAATATTTTTTCTTCTGAAGAAAGCCTATTTGTTTTTTTTCGGCTAGAATAAAAGCAGTTTTAAATTTTTTAAACCATATTAAGATCAATATTATTAGCCTCTTAAGGTATATATATATTTTAGATTGTTTTCAGAAAAAAAACATTATTGTACAATGACTTGCCTAATTACCCTATCCTGCCTAGTGAACCTAGTTAAGCCTTTAAATGTCACTTTAAGCTTAATACTAGCATCTTGAAAAATATCTAGTACAATATTTTTATTAGAAATGAGTTATTAAAACTTATGTTTAGAAATGTGTTGGAAAAAAATCTTTCCATTTAACAGAAATTGGGGAAAAAATATAGAGGGGGGCTAATAATTCTGACTTCAACTGTGCTTTCACATTAATTTCTTTAAACTATAACCGAGTCACCTATTTAGTAACTTTACCCAACACTCTAGCACTCTAGACTCAACTGTTTTCTAACATTCTCCATTTATAACAGTGGAGGATCTGGAGAGGAACGACGGCAGTGCCGAGCGACCGTACCTGATGTCCGAAAACCTGCTCAATGTGCTAAAGAAGAAGAACCAGGCCAACTAATCCACTCTGATGGCTCAGGTTTATACATGTACAGTGTGTTTTCTAGAGCTGGAGAGAAACCAGAAGTGCCTGAAGTCATTTTCATTGCCGTTTATCGTGCCTTTGAGAGCCATCATTGTGCCTTTTGAGAGATTATCATATAAATTATGAAATGCTTTTAAATGTGGCTGACTAAATTAAAAACCAGGAATGATACCAAAACTATTTTAGAAGCAGAAATAAGTGACAAGGCTACTTGTGTAGAAACTGCCACACTTTTTAAATGCCACTTTAAAGGAAAACTACACTGTATGGAAATAGGCTCATTTTATCAAGTCTTTTAGAGTTAAACAGTTGAGTTTCACACACTGAAAATTTTACACACTGCAATTACACATTTTTTTTAAAGGTAAGTTTTTGCGAATAATTTATATATGGGCTAAATTTAAACAAATTGAACTAATTTGTTTTAATTCAGCACATATATAAATTGTTTGCAATCTTTTCCCTACAGAAAATGTAGTAAATCCAGTGAATAATTTTTTTATTGCAATTGTTTAATCCATTCAGTCGATTTTGGTGTCGCTTAGCTTAGCATAGTTCATTCAATCAGATTAGACCATTAGCATGTCGCTCAATATAAAAAAAAATAAAGAATTTTTATTAATTTTCCTAAATTAAAATTGGACTCTTCTGTAGATACACCGTGTACTAAGACTGGCAGAAAATGCAAACTTGCTATTTTCTAGGTCAATATGGCTAGGGGTTATACATATGGCGTAATATTAGCAACTTTTGCCATACTTTGGCTGCAGCAGGCACAACAATATTATGTTTTGCTGTTCAATACTTAGCTGACTGTTTTGAGCTGCAGCATAAAATCATTGTGCTTGCTGAAGCCAAAATTGTTGAAACAACTTTGTTTTATTTATTTATTTATTTTCTGAGTGAGTGAGATGCTAATGGTCTAATCTGATTCAATGATCTATGCTAAGCTAAGCTAAAAGACCCCCAAGATCGTCTGAATTCATCGCAACAATTTTATGCTTCGCTGTTCAACACCTAGCTGTCTACTGTTTTCAGGTGCTGCATGATATCATTGTGACTGCTGCAGCAAAAATTATTGAAACACTTTTTTGAGTGAGATGCTAATGGTCTAATTTGATTCAATGATTTATGCTAAACTCAGCTAAAAGACACCCAAAATCGGCTAAATGGATTGCAATATCATGCTTTGCTGTTCCATACCTAGCTACTGGTTTGAAGTGCAGCATAATATCATTGTGCTTGCTGCAGCCAAAATTGTTGAAACAACTTTGTTTTATTATTATTATTTTTTTGAGTGAGATGCTAATGGTCTTATTTGATTTAATGATCTATGCCAAGCTAAACTAAAAGTCGCCCAAGATTGGCTAAATGGATCGCAATCATATTATGCTTCGCTGTTCAATACATAGCTGTATACTGTTTTCAGATGCTGGATAATATCATCGTTCCTGATGCAGCAAAAATGATTGAAACACTTTTTTTTTTTAAAGTGAGATGCTAATGGTCTAATCTGATTCAGTGATTTATGCTAAGCTAAGCTAAAAGTAGACCCGTCAGACCCGGAGAAAGGCAGAATGGATGCGAAACTGATTTAACTCAACTTTTTAATTGAAGGAGAGTTAGAAAATTAGCCTTTTTCTTTAAAAGTGTAGTGTTTCCTTAAAGGATTTTTTTTCCTTAAATGTTCTGATTTACATTTGGATGTTCAGTTAATTGTGTTATGGTGTTCATATTTGTTTTTTCTATATAAATGAAAGCGATGCAGTGTTCACGATGAGGTTGGACAGGATTGTATCAAAGCATTTTTGTTCAATATGTTTGCAGTATAGATGGATAAAAGCTGTTACTGATTAAATATTACACATCCAATGTTTATGATATTAGATTATCCGTTTGTGTACTGTACATTATGATGAGAAGTGCCTGTTTGTATGGCTGTTTAAAGATGTCTTGGCTTTAATCATGCTCCTGACTTTATTTAGTGTTTTAAATGTTTTGTTACATGCTGATATGTTTCGATGTTTGGTAAATAAAATGTTTTCTACAATGATCGTGTAAAAAATTGCTCATGAGACTCTAAAGTTGGTATATTGTATGGTCAGTGGTTAATGTAAAGTGGTCAGATGTTCAGCTTTTAATAGTTCACTCTTTAACATAAAGCTTATTTTTGGGGATGGTTTTATGAAATTCCTTTAACTCGTGAAACCTCTTCTCTGCATAATATGTTGTGCGAGTTTTTCTACAGGTTAACACTATGCAAATAAATTTGTAATTATTTTGATAAATGTTCACTTTAGCTTCATAGGGAAAACAAAAACGGTTCTTCTGTGGCATCGATGTAAAAAAAAAAACTAATATATGTTTTGGTACTTGTTTGATATCTAAAGAAATGTGTTGTAATATCAGGCGCACACACAAGGTGTTGCTGTTTACCCATCTAACATGAAAAAAAAGTTTTTGTTTTTTTTGCAGTTTATTAGAGTGGCTTCTGAGTGAATATTTCTCCTAACCCAAGGGTCTCAAACTGCTGACAGGTAATGCTTGAATTATAAACATCATGTTTGTTGTCCTAAAATGCATATATACAACAGGTTTGCACTTTCTGCTTGTGCTTAAATGTTAAAATGGCCCTCCTATGGGTTATGAGATTAGGTTCAACTTTATTGTCATTACACATGTGCAGTACAAGGTAATGAACTGCAGCGATTGCATCATTATTGCATCGAAATGCAATGACTTCATCATTATCAGTCATTGCAATGTCTCCCTGTCAATTTTAGTTTGAGACCCCTGTCTCACTGTGAAAAATTATTACTTAAATAAATTTGACTTTACTTAAAATAATTAACTATTTGTTGACTTTAAATGTGTAAACGTCTTGATTTTAAAACAATAGTTGACCTTACTTAAAATAAGTGAGTAAACCTGTTGATTTTAAAGCGATCAATTCACTTAAAAATCAGCATGTTGATTTTTAAATTGATTAGTTGACTTTACTTAAATGAGTAAACCTCTTGATTTGACGACAATTAATTTAATTACAATAAGTGAGTAAACCTGTTGATTTGACAACATTTGACTGTACGTACTTAAAATAAATAAATAAACCTGTTGATTTTTAAACGATTAGTTGACTTTACTTAAATTTAGTAAACCTGTTGATTTGACAACAGTTATTTGACTGTACGTACTTAAAAAATAAATATGTAAACCTCATAATTTTAAAATGAATAGTTGACTTTACTTAAAATAAACGAGTACATCTCTTGATTTTAAAATAATGAGTTGACTTAAATGAGTACACTTTTTGATTTTGAAACGATTAGTTGATTTTACTTAAATTGGGAAACCTGTTGATTTGACAACAATTATTTGACTGTACGTACTTAAAATAAGTGAGCAAACCTTTAGATTTTAAAATGAATAGTTGACTTTATTTATAATAAGTGAGTAAACCTGTTGATTTTAGAATGATTAGTTAACTTTACTTAAAATAAGTGAGCAAACCTCTTGATTTTAGAATGATTTGATGACTTAAAATAAGTGAGTAAACCTGTTGATTTTGAAATGAGTATTTGACTTTACTTTAAATAAGTAAATGTTTTAAAATAAATAAGTAAACCTCTTGATTTTAAAATGAATAGTTGACTTTACCTAAAAAAAAGTGAGTAAACATCTTGATTTTAAAAGATTAGTTGACTTAAAAAATTGAGTAAACGTATTGCCTTAAATCATATAAGAAATTAACTGTACATAATTATTAAAAAAATATTAAATCAACCTAACATTTCTAAGTTACAATGGGGTTACTCACTTTTTTTAAGCAAAGGAAGTAATACCTTTTGTACATTGCAGAAAATAAAAATGTTTTCTAATATGCTACCATTCTGAACAGCAGCATACACACGAGTCCTTAAATTTGAAATCACACTCCCAAAGGGACGTTCCTTTGTGCTACAAATAAGCATGGCGTTATAAAACGTGCTTGGTAACAGTGTTTAGAGGGACTGATTTCTCGCTCAACAATACAGAAGCGCAGCTCCCATAGTGACGTATCAATGCTTTCCCATGATTCCATATCTCCAGGGACCGAGGTCGTCCTGTTACACAGAAACCTGCTTTTATTTAGCTCCTATATTAGAATTCAATCCAGAGCTCAGATTTCTAGTTATTGTTTATTAGTACAGAATGTACAGTAGGTATTATACATGCACATGATGGAGAATGACCTTGTTGGTTAATATTTCAACAGAAGAAACATGTTAACCATTTCCCATAAATGTTAAAAGCACTGTCTAAAAAGATTACTTTTAGAAAAATGTTAGTTTACCTGCTCTAACTTGGATCTATTAAGTTAATTTAATTTTTACAATTATGCACAGAGCAGATTAACTTCATAATTTTAAGGCAACAAATTTGCTCAGTTTTTAAAGTAAAGTCAACAAATAGTTTCAAAAGCAACAGTTTTACTATTTTTTTTAAAAAGTAAAGTCAAAAAGTAAAGCCTTTTAAAATCAACAGGTTTACTCACTTTAAGTAAACCATTTTAAAATTTAGAGGTCCCTTTTTTAAGTCAAGTCGCCTAATCCTTTTAAAATCAACAGGTTTACTAACTTATTTTAAGTCGACTAATCATTTTAAAATCAACAGCTCAAGAGTCAGCTCACTCTTTAAGGTCAACTAATAATTTTTAAAAACAATAGGTTTACTCGCTTTAAAATCAACAGGTTAGCTCACTGATTTTAAGTCAACTAATAGTTTGAAAATTAACTGGTTAACTCGCTTATTTTAAGTAAAGTCAACAAATCTTTTAAAATCAAGGAACTTACTCTATTTTAAGTAAATTCAACTAATCATTTTTAAAAGCAACGGGTTTACACACTTATTTTTAAGTAAAATCAATTAATTGTTTTAAAAGCAACATGTTTACTCACTTATTTTAAATAAAGTCAACAAACCTTTAAAATCAAGAAACTTAGTCATTTTAAGTAGACAACTAATCGTTTTTAAAATAAACAGGTTAGCTCACTCATTTTAAGTAAAGTCAACTAATAATTTGAAAATCAACTGGTTAACTCACTTATTTTAAGTAAAGTCAACAAATCTTTTAAAATCAATAAACTTACTCAATCATTTTAATTAAAGTCAACTAATGGTTTTTAAAATCAACAGGTTAGCTCACTTATTTTAAGTGAAGTCAGCTAATTTTAAAATAAAGAGGTTTACTCACTCCTTTTAAGTCAACTAATTGTTTTAAAATCAACAGGTTTACACACTAAGTAAACCATTTTAAAGTTAGAGGTCACTTGTTTTAAGTAAAATCAACTAATAGTTTTAAAATCAACAAATTTAGTCACTTTAAGTCAAGTCGACTAATCCTTTTAAAATCAACAGGTTTACTCATTTATTTTAAGTCGACTAATAATTTTTAAATCAACAGGTTTACTAGTTTATGGTAAGTAAACCATTTTAAAATTAGAGGTCACTTATTTTAAGTAAAGTCAACTAATTGCTTTAAAAGCACAGGTTTTACTCACCTTTTTAAAGTAAATCAGCTAATCATTTTAAAAGCAACAGGTTTACTCACTTTTTTTACTCGGTCAACTAAGCACTTTTTTTTCTTTTTACAGTTCATGTCCCAACAATAATTCATTTTTATAATTTATAAGGTATATTTATAAAGTATAGATCAGTGAAATCTGCTCTCCTTTTTTAAAACCCATTTTGTACATTCGTACAGTTCTTATGGCTTCCCTAAATGAAATAATATAATAATTATAAATACTATGAAATAAATACTATGAAAATAAATGATCATTTCTTGTCCATTTCAATGGACTTCAGGTCAAAACTGTAAAATTAAAAAACTGTAAAATAAGTTTATTATTATTATTATTATTTATTTGACTTGGACATCACAATTACACTGGTGTAAGTGTTTTAGCAAACTTGCTAATTCTCAACAACTGTCCACATGAGGCTTGACAAAATGGAACTATAATTAATACATATACACAGCATTATAATTCTTTACATAAAATTGCTGAAGGCAAAAGCAGAGGCGACATGAAACAAACAAACTATCAGTAGACTACTTGTGCAAACCCTAACCCTAGTAAACCCTAGTAAAAAATACTAAAAATATTTATATTACTTTCTGATTTTAGGCTAACAGGTACATCATTCCACAGTTTGGCTTCCTTTACAGAGAAGTCAGATTGACCAAAGGAGGTCTTACACTTTGGCACTAGACAGTCGCCATTAGCAGTTGCCCGTGTAACTCTGTGAGAGATTTGATGCCTACTGATTAGATCTGAAAACAGGATTGGAACGTGATTATTTAAACTTTTAAAAACCAATTGAAGATAATTAAATTTAATAAAACTATGAAAACTAAAAAGGTTATGTTTACATAAAACTTTACAGTAATGCCATTAAGTAAGTCCATAATCTTAACTGCTTGTTTATATATCGAGTCAATAGGCTTCGTTAAAGAGGCTTGTGACCAAGTAATGCAATACGTCAAGTGAGAGAATATCATTGTGTGCACAAATAATTTTGCACACAATGATAAAGTTGGACATTTAAGAATGTCAAATGTTTATAGAACATGTTCTTTACATCTAATGATTTTTGGCATGAAAGAAAAATCAATAAATTCGATCTGTATTTTTGTCTTCCAGAGATATACCTGTGCATCATAAGACTGGTCCAGGGTCACAAGTTTACACTTGCAGTTTTTTCTCAATGTAACGAGATTTACGGAGTAGTATTTTCGGGTTTTTAGTGTAACATTTAAGCTTTTACAGTGTAACATTTTCAGGTTTTTTTGTGTTATTTATTGCACATTTATTTATAGCAGTGGTTCTCAGTTCTTGACCTTCTGATCTGCACATTTTGTATGTCTCTCCAATCTGACATGAACAGTTCATGAAGTTCTGCTAATTATTTGTGTAAAATTATTAAGTCACAAAATGTGCTGCCCTATTGAATCTGAGAACCACTGGCTCAATCTAAAAGTGCTGGGTTGTTGTAACCCAACATTGGGTC